GGGGGGCTTGGGCCCCGGGCCATGACGTCATTGTGCGCCCATGTAATCCTTTGCGCTGAAGCCCAATCAGCAGAGACTCGCAATTGTCTAGGATGGGAAGAGAGGGGCGCTCTAATCCGGGAGACAGTGGATCACACAGCCCGAAAGAGAGAGAGCAGAGTGAGAGAGGCGGCATGCATCCAGGGCTGGATTGTGCCTGAAATGGGTCAGATTAAAAAGAAGGAACCCACTGGCTTTTGGTGGAGAGAGGACCTTTCTGAAGACGAAGAAACCTTTTTTTCTCTCACCTCTAGCACGAGAAAATCAGCCTCCCGACTAATCGAGCTTTAGGGATACGCTAGAGTGCCCGTGTGGTGCATAGAAGAACGACTAGCATTTTTTTTCTCCAGATGTGCAGTAGCCAAATGTAAAATTTGTAGTTTGTCAACTGCATTAGAGGAGAGAAGATGCATCGCGCGTTTTGTCCGAGGGCGTTGATCGTGGACAATTCGGGGAACTGCATTCAAGCCAAGTTGAATGGAAAATACAGTAGCCTACTCTTCGCAGTGGGATGTATGACTTCAAAGAAATAGCTTTGTGACGTGCTGCCATCTCTGCTATCTTCTCTTTTCACTGTTGTCTTGGTGTTTCAGGTCAGGCTAATGTTGTACATTGAGTGGTTTTAAGAAAGGACAAAGCGAGAGCCTGTGTGGCTTCAGCTGTCATTCTGTGCCAGGTAACCTGCTGAGAGAGGGTAAAAGACGCACAACCAGATTTACAATGCTATGCTAATAACAGTGTTTTTTTATATATTGTCTTCCAATACTTCGATTATGGGCTGTATGCTGATTGGTTTTAACGCAGAGCCGTGGCGCAGTGATATCAATAATTATTTGCGAGCAAACCAAAGAGGAGCAGGGGAAGAATGTGGTCACGCGCATTTCTGCTGGTGTAGGCTATACATCGGTTTTAGATTTAAATGTCTACATGCATGTGTGCACGCAAATGTGTTGCAAAATCGGCTTTAGATTATACCAGTGTGTGTGTGTGCCCGAGCGCACGGACACGGGAGCTGTACTTAAATCGCAGTCATACTGTGTGTGTGTGTGCGTGTGCGTGTGTGTGCGTGTGTGTGTGTCCTACACGGCGGCAGATGCTGCAGGTTTGAGCGCGTGGAAGTCAGGAAGGATTGAGGCTCTGGCTTCACTCTGCAGCCATCAGCAGGCTGAGGAGGGGGCTTCTTTAAGGGTTGTCACTCTGCGTGTTCACAGCGGACCTTGATTTAATGTCCATACAATTAAGGCACGCGGTGAATGCCAAGAGAGGAATCTACAGCTTCAGGTTTTTATACATTTTATCAGCAGCATTAGTAGTAGGCCTGGCTGCAACCAGCAGCAGGATAAAACTGACTGCTGTACTGTGACTCACTGTGTGTGTGTGTGTGTGTGTGTGTGTGTGTGTGTGTGTGTGTGTGTGTGTGTGTGTGTGTGTGTGTGTGTGTGTGTGTGTGTGTGTGTGTGTAGTTGCTGTACTGGGTGAGCGCAATGCGTACTTTGATATGATGTTACAGCATGTATAAAGGTTACCACTAGCTAATTTTAACATCTTATATTTTGTCAGAAATGATTGTTTTTCAATGTTTTATCCAAACAGTGAAAAACACCTCTCACAGAAAACGATGCAGGTTTACGAAAACAATTGGACTTTTGCCAAATGGTCAATGGCTATGGGGTTAACCAATCTTACGGCAGTCGCTTACATTTTTAGTTGCCTATCTTCGAAAACGATTTTAACCTGGCGAAATGTTTGTTTTATTTTAAGAAAATATTTTCCATATCTTCGGAGTAAACATTATGGTCAGGCACGAGGTCAATACATTTATAAATTGGATTGTAAATCTAATTTGAAGTATAAATATAATCAATACGTATACTATTCAAGCGAATAAGACAGGCAAAGTGTGATCATGGAAATATATTTATTAATGCATTGATGCTAAATCCTCATATTCAGTAGGCTGTGCACAGTCACTAGTCTATTCAAACCCTTTTGTGAAAGTTAGATATTTTACAAAACGTGACAGAAGTCAACATAAATGTAGTATCAACTATAATCATTTATTCATTTATTAGGCCAACAGTCTACCACACCTTCACTGTGTGGCTCCAACTTCAGGCCTTCACTCTGACGCTGCCTGCAGTGTTTAGTCTGAAGCATTCAACGTATAGACATGTCAGTGATTCAATGCCACCTACAGGCGTCCTTCTGACACCACATGTGAGGAGCAGTAGCCCAGTGAAGGCCTTAGGACAGGACCAAAAGGAAATAAGTATAGGCTATTAGTTTTCTAGCAAGTGTTATCACCCACAAAATTGGTTTGCATCAAATACTGGTTCAATGAAACTTAGAGCATTTTGGTTTTCAACCAGTTCTCAAATATTTTGAGAAAGAACCAAAAAACGAAATATAACCAAACAAATCAGAAATAGGAGAATTAGGACAAAGTAGTATTATCATTTTTTCACTCAGTGCATTATAGGTTATTTATTGTCAACAAAACATTTTTTAGATGTATTTAATTAAGCATTGATCGCCCAAACTTTTCACAATGTAACTTGAACATGTGTTCCCATATTTGAGCTGAAAAGGATCTTTTTATAAATAACATGCATTTAATATGTCTTTTAAATCAAGAATTCAATCATTTAGCAAAATACGAACATCATTATAGGGTCTTTGTTAGTCATGTTTATCTATATTTTACACTGTTTTCTCTGAATGTGATCGTGTTTATTGTGTGTGAAATGTGTTTAATGCATGTTTCACTTTGTAATGATTGGACACCAAATAAAGCCTGAGTTGCACTGAGTTTTCTGCTTGTGATTCTCCTGTGATTATTTGATGTTTACATGTCCATTGCACCATATATGCAGTATTTGCAGAACTACATGTTAATTATTTTCACATAACGCAAATTAAAACCTTTTAAATGTTGCGAGGAAGACTTGAACCTGGTATGACAAGCTGGTGATCTGTAGCAAAGATGATAAGGCTATTTTTTTAAGCGTATAAAACCATGGTTTGGCATTCAGTGTATTTTTGTTTAAACCCATATTCAAAACAGGTACAACTCCACCACCATTTTATATAAGATCACCTGCTGTGTTTGTACTCCAGTTTTTCTTACCATCATTATTTGACTTTAAAATCCCACCAGCAGGTCCCAGAAATCAGCACCATGGAGAGCTCCTGCCAAGGAAAGAGAAGGAAATCCTTTGAAAAGCGTTTAAACATATATTTGTATATGTAAACCTTAAAACCAAAACTATTATATTACAATGTTCAATCTCAAAAACCTGTGTAAAGGACATCTAAATATCCCATATTTAAAACGATGTTTTTTAGTAATTTAAAAGAAAAACCTCTGTAAATTTGAAATAAGTAATGAAAATGTTAAATCTTATATGTGCTAATGTGCACAAACATATGATGGACATACACATTTCTATTGATTTAAAACAATTTAAATACCGTTAACCGTTCTTCCATTTGTACGCTCCATCATATTCTGATGTAGGCTGCAGCTTGGAAACAGAGACCTGCTTTGATAAGAGTACTTAAAGATACAGTGTAAAGTCAAGTGTAGTAACATGATGAGAAAAGACAACAGGAGGAAAACAATTCCAGCTGAGAAAAACCTTTTAGTGACATTTAAGCACTGGGGCTGCCCTACAGAGCTCCCTCTCTTTGTATAAGGTCACCGTGGGTGGCTGTTGAGAACCAACAGGGAATTCACGAGATCAAGACAAAGTCATTTCTAAATGGACAGTTTATTAAGGCTCGATTTCTTCTAAAAAGGAAAACCAAGATAGATCTTTCAAACAAGTTATGCCCACTACAATTATGGTCTATAAGATAAATCAATGGATATTTAAAATGTCATTTCATTAATCCTTTTGTGGTGTTATACATATACTTTCGCTAACCTGACATCCCTCTTTTGCAACACACATCTCCTGACATCAACATGCACTCTATTCCTGTACTATAAACACAACCAGTACAAGCTTCCTGAGGCTAAGGCAGCTGCAACTCGGTGGCGTCCTTCAGCTTCTCCCCCTGACTCTGTGCCGGTTAGAGAGCGGTGTCGGTGAAGGCAAACACGTGAGAGGGCGTTCACCGTATTGCTTGGATCAACCTAGCTATTGATTAGTGCAGGTAAAAAGGAGAAGAGGTGGAAGAGAAAAAGGGTCTTGTTAGAATTCAGATCCCTAGATTTAACCGGCCATGTAAAGAAAATACAACGCAGCTTCACACATCTGGAAATACAGCTGTGAAGCATACGGTTCCTACACACACTTGAGTGACCTTCTGTCATCTCAATGTAATAACGGGGTTAACTTCTGACTATCAGAATACATCATATACTCTGAAGACCAAACAATGTACGGTGAATGATCTTATAGGCCACAACTGTCAGAGTTATCTCTTTCAGGTCACATATTTGAAAATGAAAGTTGAGAAATGGGATCAGAATTTTTGATCAGGTTACCATGAGGCAACATCGAGTCTAACACGAATACAGTGAAAGACCAAAAGATCCCAGAACATGGAGTTTTCTATTAGCAGATCCCCTGCAGCTGAGTATAACCTCAAGCTACCAAATACTGAACAGACAAACTCAGGAGGGAAGAGGACCGGCTGGTATCAAAGACTCACTAAAAAACAGCATTCTGGCTTTGAATGCTCTGAAATGACGGACACAAGGAGACACCGTCCTTTAAAAATGACCGTTTACGACACCACTCTCACCTTACAGACAAGCTGCAGGTTGGATAATAGTTTTAAAATATCTAGCAGACCTTTTATATTGCAGCTTGCCTTGCATGGACACACACATTTATTAGATTTGTTTTTATATCCAATCTTTTTTTCTGTTGACAAACCTGAAAGTACTCTATAATCAATGGTTTCAATCTTGTACAAACTAGTTTAGCAACAACCAAAAAACACACAGAAACCACATTTCATTCTTATTTTTTTCTTACTCGATAGTAAATCAGTTACATTAATTTTTAGGTTATACATTTTTAGGCTTTCTCCATGAATATATAGGCTCCTACGTTAAAGCTTAGCATTACGACCAACATGATAGACCTAGCAAAACCAAATTTGAGGGAGAAAAAACAAAAACAGAGGATTAAGACAGAATGATGGTGAATGGACAAACATGTGTACCCTCCCCCCCATTTGTGAAACAAAAAACGCAAAGCAACAATTAATTCAATGTAGCAGTTACATCATTCTGATTATAAAACAATTTAAAATGGTGGGTGCGACAATTCTCTCAGACTGGGTTGCGTACACAAGCAGAATCTCCTGACGAAACATACAAAAGACCCCTTCAAGACAAACATCAAAAAGACAGCGAAGCAGAAGGGTGTGAGGGATGTCAATAGTACAATTTTGGACTAAAATGGTGAGTTCTGGTTGTGGAGGACACATCCATTATTTCTTTATCCCAGAGGCCTTAGCAATTCCTCTTTCAGAAATGTTTCGAGTCCCGTGTGACTTCACACTATCCCTGATTTCTCCAGCAGTGTCACTGTTTGAGCAGTTCTTTTGAAAAGTCACCAATAATTAGAGAAAAAAACATTAAGGCTCCAGAAAACAGGTTTCTGAAATGAAAATTGTCAGTAGTAAGCCAAAAAATAGAGATTTTGTCGATCTGAATTAAAAATAGATAAACCATTGAAGTTGTATAATCGCACAGCGCCAAGTCCGACATGGCCTTTGGGATCCTCCAACACTGTTGGCACAGTTAAACCGCTGAAGCATGGCAATGTCGCCCCCAAATGGACAAATAGGGGCAGGACACATTGGTTCCTGATTGTACTGAAATATAAAGTGGCAGATTTTTCTCCATGGTGCAGTCAAACCCTGATTCAATTGGAAAGAGGTGGGGGCCGGGGCCGGAGAGAGAAAACCAGTCTGGTGAGAGAATAGTACGAGATGGAACGGGAAGAAAAATATTTCTTTAAAAAAAAAAACTGAACTAAAGAGTGTGGTGGTGCCTAGGTGTTACAATAAATCAGCTTGTTATCCCTGCACAAGAAGTGGGTGGTACATGGGACAAAAAAAAGCACAAGTCTCGACAATGGCAGAGATTCACCAGAATTAAATAGAAAAAAATGAAGGGCTTGGTTGCATTTTCATATTCTTCTGTCTCTTAAATCAAAAGTCCTAGTGTAACTGTTGATCAAGCCAAGGATAAATGTCTTCTATTGTTTATTCCTGTTTTGGCGCTCCTGTTTAAAAAAAGAAGCAGAAAAACATAACGATATTAGACATTAAAACTTTACATACCAGCACAGCAAGCTGCAGGACATTCTGATAAGGTCTAGATATCATTATTTAGTGTTGATCAAATCTTAAAACATACATTTCACCCTTACCGATTGAACAACTCAATCAAGCACAATTAATAATAACGGTCTGAAAATTATTTTTTAATGACAAGTTCTTACCTGATCCAACCGAGAGCGGTTGGGTATAGGGGAAGGTTCAAAAGTCTGTCGAGAGGAGCAAATAAGAAACAGAGAGAAAAAAAGAATTATTATCAGACACAAAACAGTTAAACAAAAAGTCTATCTAGAAATAGATAATGTTTTTCTGATCAATGGTGTAGAATGTGTATTTTTGGTATATTTAAGGTTAACCCAGTAAGATTAATGTGCCCACCTGGCCCACCTCTTCATCCTCCTCCTCCTGCCTCTTCTCATAATGGGAGAAGTCATCAAAGATGGAGGTGGTGTGTTTGTAGGTGGCGATGATCTTGAGCACCTGCTTCGCCTTCTCCAGAGGAACTTCCTGGGTGTCGCGGGAGTTGGTCACTGGCTTGTTGTCGTTGTTCTCCAGGCGGATGTGGCGAAGCTGGCTATTAGGCACGTCCTTAACAAACAACCAGTCCACGTCAAACTTGCCCTTCCACTTGTCCTGCGCCCAAACACCAGCACTGGTGCCATAGTCCACTGGTGACCGCATCTCTGCCACACCGCAGAAATGACCACTGCCATTGACACTGAACAGGAGGTACACGGGGCCTTTAGCATTCATGGCCCGGAAGGCTGAGTCCAGCCGCTTGTTGCCGTGCTCTGTGCTGCACCAGATGGAGTACTTGATGGAGCGGTGGATATCGTCCTCGGAGTAGCTCTTAATGATGAAAACACGGCCGTTCTTCAGGTTCCATTCAAAGTCCTTGGGGTTGTAGCTGTGGTTGGCACGCAGCTTATCCAGCACGGGGTGGGACTCTGCACCAGGTCCCTGGCTAGGGCAAGTTGGGGGGCCACCGTGCCCACCACCAACCATACCCATAACACCACTACCATCATGGCCAGGGCCGCCCTGCCCGTAGCCTTGGTTACGGTTGCGTGGGGCAACCCAACGGGTCTGGGGTTGTGGGGGCTGGGTGTGGTTTTGGTAGGGCTGGGGTGGTGGCTGGTGGTGCTGGTGATGGTGGTGCTGTAAGGTCATCTGCTGCATCTGGGGCTGCACCATGGACTGGGCAGGGTGGTGCATGGGTCCCTGCTGCATGTGGCCTTGAGGCTGCATGCCATGAGGCATGCCGAGAGGCTGCTGATGCTGCATTGGAGCTGTGGCTACTTTAGTCACCGGGCCCTTCTCCCAGGTCCCGATGTTCATGTTGTGTTTGATGGGTGGAGGGGGAAGAGCTCCTCCTGGACCTTGCATTCCTGGCTTCACCTTCGCTTTCATCTGCTGCGGCTTGGCGGGCTTGCTGGCAATGGCTGCCCAGGAGGTGGGTTTGGGGGGTGGCATTCCAATAGGTGTGGCCCCGTTCCCTGTGGCTGCCACTACAGGGCCACCGATCACAGATCCCACAGCCTTGACTCCTGAGCCCTGGCCAGTGACATCCCCTCCGATCTTCAAGCCAATCATACCTTGCTCCAGGCTGTTCATACCGGGGGCTTTGTTGAGGGTGTCACTGTGAAAGCCCGTCTGACCATCAGGCACCAGGGTGCCCCCCAGGGAGCTGGGGGGGTAGCTGTAGCTTCCTCCGTAGGCTGAACTCTGAGTCTGCTGGCCCTGGGTGCCACTTGTGCCCCAGGCAGAGAAGGCAGGATTTTCAGGGAAAAAATTAAACCTGTGGGGGTAGATGCTGCTTCCTAGGCCACCCGGCTGGCCAAACACCGTGTCTGGCATGAAGTGATGGTCTCCATTACTCAAGGCTCCATAGGGGGTGAGGTACGGAATAGGGGGGTCCCCACCTGTAGACCAGGGAGCCTCACTGAGGGGATACGGAAATCCAATGGAGGGGGCGTAGTAGCTGGACAGATAAGGGTCGGTGATGGACTGGTAGCTGTTGTTCTGGATGAATAAAGGTCAGCAAAGCCACAGCATTAACATGTGACTCAAGAGTTTAATTTTCAAAATCAGATCCATTAGTGAAACAAAACTCTCTTTTCACTCAACATGAGACTAACTTAATGCCATCTGATTAGAAGGACACATTGATATTGGATATTTAAGAAAAAACAATAATATTTTCTTATATCTTATTTTCTAAAATGTCTTAAGATAGGGATATTGAGTTTTACCTGAGTTGATTGACTAGTGAGGTACGGCTCAAAGTCATTTTCATGGACATTCTCCTTTTGATGCAGTGAACCATTTTGCACTGCAAAGACAAAATAACATTACATGAAGGTACATTTAAATATACATGTTCAGTTTTTAAGACAGATTTGTTTTATAACTGAATTAACCCATATTTAACTATCTACGACCTGTTGAGTTGAACAGTTTGTTTCAAAAGGCCAAACTTGCCAGTTTTAGATATAAAGTTGTGACAGATTTGAATGGTTACAATTATTATGCTATTAAAAAAAAGCATTGTCAGCTTCAACACAGCACACACATTATAATTATAATCCTCATCTATCTAATGAGTAATTCACAGATAAAGTATTCAAACTTGTCAGCCCCTCTATGTCCATGTGCTCCAAAACATGTCAAATCCCTGAGCCATGTCAAGCAAAGCTTATGGTGGAGGTGAATCAGCCCGTGGCCTGCTGCCAGCCAGGCCTGCAGGTGAAGCGAAGTCAAGACCTGCCGGTCACTTCACCAAATGCAGTAAATCCAAGATGACTTTAACATCATAAAAACAATGAAAAGGCCATAACAGCACTGTTACAGCACTGCAAATACTGTCGTTAGTGAGGAAGTGACAACAATGAATTACTACTAAAATAATATGTACAGCTGGGGTTGCTGGTGGCATTGAGGGAAGACTGAGACTGGACAACTGTAGGACTAGGAGGTGCTCAATCCAGTACCTTTACAGGCTAAGAATCAAGACAGGACCAGCGTTTTGGGGAATATCATTTAAATATCCTAAAAAAAAGCATGGACAGTGGCAATTTGGCAAAGTCGATTATGCTTTAAAGGAAATGTCCACTAGATTCCAAGCTTCATTTTTCTGCAATACAAAATCACAAACCTTTATTCACAACTTTCAAAGATACAGGGGTTAAACGTGTTATACTCAAGCAGCAGATTAAAGATTGCCTTAAACAATTATATGACTGGAAAAAGAGTAGAGATTGCATCAATAGATTGCATCAGAAGTGTGCAAGGAAAACTGAGCATAAGCAGAATGGTAAATGGATTACATTTATATACAGTAGTACCTTTCTGCCTTACCAGACTATTTCTACCAATCAAACACAACTTAATACACCAATGGTGGCGGGGATGCTCTGGGAGGCAATGGCCTGGCAATTAAGGAGAAAACTTTGTCTTTGCTAAAGGACACTTGGAAATGCAAGACAGGAGGAGCCACAAGATGAATACTTTTGGTAAACTGAGAGCATATTCTCCCTAAAAATCATCAGACCTTTGAAATGGCGGACGCTGTCCTTCAATGGGTCTTACAGTATGTCGCCACCCAACATTTAAACCCCTGATCTCGAGATTGTTAATATCACACTTATGCAAAACATATTCCCAATAAAGTCTGAAAATGTATGCTTCAATTTCTGCTGAATAACAAATGAACAGATGATAGCTCATCAAAACTTAGCTGGGTAATGTGTATTAGAAACATGTTATCATTGAAATACTTTTAACTACCTGACCGCAATCAATAACTAAAAAATCAAATGGTATCTGTGGCTCTGTCAAAAAGATGTCCTAGTGACATCAGTGTCGCTAACTTGGATACTTTCTAGCTAGATTTAGTGACTTTTAGATTATTTCATTGTAATAGAGTTGGCATTTTTATAATTAAGCTTGAGTTACCTCTCCAAGCTTCTGAGCTTTAATTCATCACCCATAAACCATTTTATTTGTAGAATCATTTGCGCCAGCAGATTATATCAAATGATGTTCCAAAGATTTTAATCTTGACAGTAGAGTAAATCACAGACGGCTAAAGACTCCACATAATGCTGGTGTACTGTATGTAATGCTGATTTAGTCAGGGAATGTGTACCCAGACTATATATCCAAACAAATTCAGTCATCTGTGACACAACAACTCACCTTTAGATGCTTGTCCCTTTGATCTCTGCATAAATGTAGGATGATAAAAAGGGGGAAAAAGGAGACATGGTTCATTTAAGTAAATTGAGATTTTCCATACGTGCAGCCGCTAATGTTAACAATGTATGGCTCAGAATATGAACATTACGACTACCTCACGAAGAGAAGCAATGCAAACAAATAATTACCTAAGGTTACTCTTCAGTTAAAGATGAAGATACTTACCGTTTGCTACATTAGTTAAAAGCCATATTTGATTTGCAACTTTGGTCAAATCAAGCACAACTTTGCTAGCTATCGTAACTAACGCTAGCCGTTTTAAAATGGCCTTTTAGACGCCAATAGCACGAATGCAGCTTTTTACTTAGTTAGCTGGATCACTCTTGAAATAATACCGGTGATTGTACCACCTTCAATACAAAAGTTGAAGATTATCTGAATGAGTAACGTTATCTTGAACCCGTTTCATTATGTTAACCATAGCTTCAGGTTTTTATGCCATAGGTGCTGAGTTTTTTCCAGCTACGTTGGCGTTACAAACATTTGGTCTAAGTAAAATATGCATTTTTTGCTAACACTTAACTGCATGTCATTATTCTCCAACGTCTATCAAACACATTTAACCTTTTTAACGGAATGTAGCTAACCAGCTAGCTGCATGCACCGGCCAACGTTGGTGGCTAAGCTAGCACTTCCGAGCGATAGTCATAGCCCAGTAAATCGTCAGCGGGTAGCTAGCTTGCAAGCTTTTTTTACAGGCAATGTACATCGTTTTTCCTACCTGAGGGTCAATGCTTGTGGCAGACATAATTCATTAAGCAAGTCCCTGGATTCTCACAGAGCCTGCGCTTGTGACTGGATTTCAAGCCCCGTGATTTAGAAAGCAAGTTCACAGCTCAGTTACAGTTAGCTCCGTGGCTAGCTGTGCCGCTTAGCGTGTGGCTAGCAGTTGTAGCGCAGGCTCAGCTGTATATTTTCCGCTGTGTGCTCGTATCCCCAACTTCCACACTTCAAGTCTGTCGCCTAGGAGACTTGTGTCCAAAAATCAGTCAAGTCCGGTTACTGGTTTTCAAGTAAACGTTATGTATCGCCGATTGGAGCTTTCAGAGCTTGGATATTTCTGCCCTCGGTCGTCTTTTACTTTGTCTTTATTATTCCAGAGAGAGAGAGCCCTCCTCAGTTACGTTAAGCCCTGTACACTTCCCCAATGGCTGCTCCTCCATCCGGGCTTTGAGCCGCCGCTGCAGTTCACGTCTCTCCCCGCGGGGTGGCTCAACTTTGAAGCTTTCTTTCTATTTATCAAAGTGAGAGAAGCTCTTATCTGTAATCAGTGGTGTAAAGTAACTAAGTACATTTACTCAAGTACTGTACTTGAGTACAACTTTGAGACACTAGTGCTTTATTTAGCATTTAAATTGTGTGCGACTTTGTATTTCTACCCCACTACAATTCAGAGGTTAATATTCTACCTTTACAAGTTTTACTACATACTACATGTATTTATACCTAAAGTTAGGATTCAGGTTTGGATTCATAATGGGAAATATAATAAATACTGAAATAAGACTTTAGTTACACCTGGAGTAAATCCACAAGCTACTCAGCAGAAAGTGATTAAACATAGCTGCACATTTGCTCTGTGATAAACACATTAATGCATCAATAATCATTATAAACATAAGTGTATAGTATTCTGAAAAGGGCCAATCTGCATAATGAATACTTTTACTTTTGATATTTGAAGTATATTTCAATGCTAATACTTTAGTACTTTTAGTTGAGAAACATTTTACATTTACTTGTCCCAGAGTATTCCTACACTAGTATTTCTACTTCACTAAAGTGCAAGATATGAGTACTTCTTCCACTTATGTCTGTGATTAAGATAATACCAAGATAATGAAAATAAACCCAGCAAACTTCAAACATGACTAGTGAATTAGAATTGTTTTCTTTACTTTGCTATTTTCTGCAATCTATCTGCAAACAACGCCTGGGGTGCTATCAGCAGACTGTTTTTTTCTACAGGGCCTCTAAAGCAGATGTGTTTTAACCATGTTTTAACCCAGCACAGTGCTCATGTGAGACTTACTGGAATGGAAAAATGATACAAAGTAGGAAAAGGAAAAAGTCAACTTTAGCATCGCAAAGTATATGTGGCAGCACTCAAATACATCTTCTCTCTTTACTGTGAACTGTGGCACACATTTAATATTTTTGAAAATCCTTCACTAAATCGTCATATTTTAGCCTACAGAATATACTTGTTATAGTATGCTATTTTAAAGTATCTGATTAATGTTTGTATTTATTTATGCTTTTGATGTGTTGATGTCTAGTTAAGTTCCTCTTAATGTGCACCTAAAACCAAAGCACATTCTTTTTAAGTTAAAATCCAAATTTTAATACACCATATTCAAAATTGGTCAAATACCAGTTTTCAGTTTTTTTGGTAGGTGACTCAACTGAGAAAGACAGAAAATCACGGATAACAATCTAGGCTACTTTCTCGAATTTATACTGGACATTTGACTGTTTATTTATTGTGTAAGTTAGACAGTGGATGTAGTACTTAACGGGTTGAATCTTCCACTGAAAAATATTTTCTCGTGGTGATTTCGTCATGTCTAGTAGTGTATAATGAACTGATTTGGTTCTAACCCTCATTAAATGAATGTAGTTATTACTCTCTGTTACCACCAGGAGGCAGCAATGATGAACCCACCAACTCTTTAAACTCTGCCAAAGGTCAAACCTATATCCTAATGTTTACAAGTGGTCATTTTCTGAATTTTTCTACTCACAATATTGACAGTATTAGAGCAGGTAATTCGCCATTTTGTGTAACTTGTGTTTTGACTCAAGTCTGGCTATTTCAAGTGTAATCCTGAATTGCAAACATTTTAGCCAACAATATTCAATATACTTTTTTATGTCTTCCAAAAAAAGCTTTCTAAAAGACAACACATCACATTAAAAAAGGTTACATGGGTGTTCCCTGACCCTGTAAGTTATATAGCCTCAGAATCAAGTATAACCGCACAGCTTATTATTTTATCTGTTTAACTCACTTAACTCCTTAATCATCACTTATTCACACAAACTCAAGAGCAAAGGATTTCTACTTCCTGTAGTGTAGGCCATAGAGGACACAACCACCGATCCATTGTAGACAATAATATTCAACAACTATGGGATACAGGACAACCAGCCAATTTTTGCTTCAATTGTAAAAGTTATAGGTTTCTTTCATTGAGTTGTAGGCTATAAAGTTAACACATTGTGCTTAACAACATTTTAAATAAAAGTAAAGTAACATCCCTTTTAATAATCATATTAGTTGTAAGGCTATAGTATTCTTCTGAAATGCTTCACATGTTTTTACTAGGAGGCGGAGCCCCATGGCATGTTCACGCTTTCATCCATTCAAGGATCAATGAGCATACATTCTGGCATTTGGTGGCTTTTCTGGAAAGCAGTCTCCTGTAGGTGCAGGCCCCCACAGCTGATCATATTATTTCAGCTGTTGTGCTATACTCACCTTCAGTGCGGGCACCACTATGGACCGCAATAGGAATGACTGGCACAGGACAAGAAGAGAAAGGAAAACTTACAAGCAACAGAATGACGGATGACAGGAGTACTACACTGCACATCCTTGAGGAGCCTCAGATGCGGAGAGAAGGGGCGAGACTTCAAACTTTTCAGAACTGGCCAGCAGATGCTCCTGTCACATCTGGAGAGCTGGCCAAGGCGGGCTTTTTCTTTCAAGGCCCCGGGGATAAAGTCCAATGTTTCTGCTGTGGAGGGATTTTAAGATGTTGGGTACATGGGGACTTCCCGGCCGAAGAACACAAGAGGCATTTCCCCACTTGCAGTTTCATACTGGGTCGATCTGTGGGGAATATTGCTCTCCTAGTCGGATCCTCTGACTCCGTGGATGGCCAACTTATGAGCCAACTCCAGAGGATGACTATGGATGAACAGGGCACATCTGGACAGGCGGTGTACCCAGAGATGGAGGCAGAGGATTCCCGGCACACTACTTTCCACAACTGGCCCACAGATGCCTCAGTCCAACCAGATATTCTTGCCAGAGCAGGATTCTTCTACACAGGTATACCATTGTCTCACTATTACGTTTAAATAAAAGTATATCATACTTCTTTAATGTCTTAACATTTACCAGCATTTGAGTGTCCATGAGAACATTTGAGTGAAAGATTCAGCGTTGTCCCAGTCACTGCTAGAGCGACCTCTCTTTGTGAGAGAGTTCATGGTACAATTGGCCTGCTGAGTCATGATGTTGTGGACAGAACAAGCTGGACAGAGCTGGGGCTGTTAAAGAAGTAGGGCTTCCACAGCTTCAGGCAACTCACAGAGTGGGCACAATATTGTGAAAACCAATACAAAATAGTACAATACATAAAGTAACCCTATAATGAATTGTGCTTTTGTGAAGCTCATATTGTTTTTGTTTTTTTGCGACGGTCAAAGAGGAGTTAATTCACCCTATTGTCACATTATAGGTTTCAGTTCTTGGACGATATTGATTCCTTTTACAATCTGACGTATATAGCGATGTTTTTGTGAATTTAAGACTAAAGGAGTGTAAAGAGATGGTCTGTGTTAAATTGTTAGTGTCATTAGACTCCTCTCACGGCATTGCTGTTTACCCCTACAGGCCACGGTGACAATGTGAAATGCTTCTACTGTGACGGAGGGCTGAGGAACTGGGAGGCAGGAGACGACCCCTGGCAGGAGCATGCCAAGTGGTTCCCACGGTAACAGCAGGACTTATAACACACAGATAAAGAAATCAGTTCAATGCATTACTTGCCAATCTTTGCACTGGCAAAGGAAAATGTCTTCTCAATATAAAAGCAGTGTAACGTTTTGGTTTTGTGTTCTGCTTTAATGCTTCAGCAGATTATAAAACAGTGTCTTTATATTTCTCAGATGTGAGTTTTTAATCCAGGCGAGAGGAAGGGAGTATATCAGCAACATACAGGATGCTCATTTCCATCTGGGTGAGACTGTGGTGAGAGCTTTCATCCCTCCTATCTGTTCAGAATAAAGTCTGGTAGTGCAGACATTATAATCACACATTCATAAATGGTATCTTTTGTAATTGCCGACTTTGACTTTGACCAATGAATAAAAAACATGGTCACTTTACTTTTCTAGGTTGGATCACAGACTCCTACAGGCAGAGATATTGGATCCAGAAATGGTAAGTCAAATGACATTTAAAAAAAGCAAGGAATGCTGGGTATTTACCAACAATGTATATTCCCACTAAGCAGACTGGATAACAAGATAGCAGACTGCTCTGACACCAATAATTATCTTTGTGCAGCCAGTGGTGCAAAGAATCAAAGTGTCAACATCAACTATTGCTTGTTCACGCAAAAGAATAGAGATAGAGTAAACATTGATGGGAGCATTGCAGGTTGTGGAAGCAGAAATAAATAAATGCTGCAACCAGTTGATTCAATTAATCTGGCACAAGGTTGATCAAAGAAGGTTGACAAAGCATACATACACCACAGCAGTGCTTAAAATATGTAATTAGACTCTTACTCTTTGAAATAAAGTAGGTCCATTACTTTTCTTTGAGACGCTGCTGCAAATGAAATAACTACAGCTAATGTTTGCTATACGATTGTAGTAGCCTATAGCCTAGAAACCATCTGTAGCCCGTGGTTACCATAAAATGTAGGATAACAATTATAATCTATTTCAGCATGTGTACACCAAAGGCAAGTGGTTTAAAATGTTAAGGTACAAGTAGATGCACCATTTGTCATTACATCTTATGTTTCCCCATGTAAATGTCCCTATAGTTAAAGTGGACCTATTATGCTATATTGGAAAAATATATTGTAGGGCCATACCTATACAAAACATGTCTGTGAAGTTTTTTGCTTAAAATACCAAACAAATCACCCATTGTAGCCATGCCTCATACTGTTCATACCCCTCTTTTGCCGCCTTGTTAGAGAAACGAGGATTTTGGGTCCTTAGCTTAAAAAAAAAAAAAAGAGAAGGCAGAGCTAATGCCTGATCAGAATTCTACCGGAGATAAAGTTAAATTCTGCTGTGATAAAACACCATCCTGTTCTAAACCACATAAAAGATTATTTCTGAAACAGTATGGAGCTCAAATGCTTTTTCTCTTGCGGGTTTATCACAAGGTGAGTTCCTTTTTTTATTTCCTGCT